ATAAGCACACCATGCAACTTGTCATTCGCAAGAGAGGATATGTGCCGTCACGAACGCGAATCCACATATTTGTCGACAGATTAATTGTTGACGAGTGCATATAGGTCCGAGTGACGCAGTGGTCGTGTCCAATGCGCAATGGGCGAACTCAGGTAGGCTGACGTGCTTTGGGTACCGCGGATGTATCACAGTGGAAAGGCCGAAATGTGGCCCACTAAATGATATGCGATTAGTAAGATTCCAAACTAAAATGATTTTTTTCCAAGCCCGAAATTCATTTTAACCCTCGAGCCAGTTCCACCAACTATACCAACACAGCTAATGTTCCTGATTTGGGAGGCTTCAAATATGGGTCGTATAGACCATTTTAATAATTGCCTTCTACTCGCTACCTCTACTGGATTGTAGAACGCGTTTTGCGCGTACGCGGTGGCTCTCTCCTGCGATAAATCAGGCGTCGCGCACGCGTCCACAAAGCAGTGACTCCGCATTTTTCGCCTCGGTGATAAGCAGAGAAACTACGGTCAATTCCTAAAATTCTGGGACTGCGTGTGATTATCATGTCAAAACTACTAACAAACTGTTCTGTGTCACTCTTTTTCCGAAAAGTTAATTTCCTTGCAAACCTTGTTTAAACAAAAAGCACAAAGCGAAACCGAAACCTTGCCTGCGGCAGGCTACGTTGGTCCTGCTTGTCAAGTACTGGACATCACGTGGTACGAAGGCGTTGGTTATGTCATTAACGAAAGTGACGGACGGCGCTCCACGCTCTCCTTCTTCTCTCTAGCCCTAACGCTCCGCGCCTCGAAAAGTGAGAAACAAACGAGCGAAACAATTCTTCCAGTCGACGTTTCGCGCGCTGTTATGTCCACACAGCGGCGTTGACTGTGCTGCTCCGCGCGCCGCGCGTCGCCCGCTTGATTGGGCAGATTTTGTTGCCCGTGGAGCCGCTCCAATTTCGTTGGCCGGTTTCATAAACTTTTAGGTGGAATTGCGTCGTAATATTTTACGTGTAGGCTTTTCAGATGATACGACGTAGAATTGCGTTGTTTTCTCAACATCGAAATATGACCGGAGTTGCCCTTTCAAAGGTGTACACGCTTGCAAAGCCTCATTACAAGTAATCGAATCAGTTACTAATATTCAATTAATCACTTACTTTTTGAAGTAATTTTTAATAATTTTATTAGAATTATTAAGAAAAATCTGAAGAGTAAGTCTGATTACTTATGTAAGTACTGAAATTACTTGTAACCCTTACTTTTTACAGCGGAGCTGCCAAGGGCTAGTTTCCCCAGGATCGAGTCCGTCAGCAAACAAATGATGACATGAAACTCTGGACAGCCACCGTCATCTATGAGCGACGGCGGCCACAAGATAACCAGATTGCCGGTTGTCTGGTTGCCACCGTCGCTCATAGATGGCGGTACCTGTCCAGCCTTTCCACTCTGGCTTGCCGACTTGCGGCAGGCCATTACTTCATTCCCACCATAGTACAGCTTCGCTGGTGTTCCTTCGTCACCAGAGTGAAAAGGCTGAGTTTTTTTTTGTTTGTTTTTTTCTCCTCCCGTTTCTAAGGGCGTCCTTTGTATGTACAAGTTTCCTTCCAAGGAATCCTCGAACCAAATCTTGGACAAGAGAATGGTTTCATTGAAATTGGTGGATTGAAAAAATAATTTGTTCATAATTAGGTGATCCTAATCCAATAATGGACAGCACGAAGAGCCCGTCTTCAAACTGACAAAAAACTCTGTCGTATTGAAAGTCTGAAGTCATCGCAGACATAACGCTTACTTTTTAAAGTAACAGCCAATTGCTTTTCGTCTCGAGTGATCCAGTAATAGAATTGAATACTTTTTTAAGCAAGAGTAACTGTAATTGCAATCGATTACTTTTTTTTCGAGTAACACGTACAAGACTGACCCGAATATAAGCCATGGTAACCAAGTGGTCGTATTTCCGACGGCAGTGTACGCTGCCTCTGCACGCGAGGCCCGCTGTGACCGGGGACAGTTCCTTCCTGTGGAAGCTCATAGCTGTGAGTATGCCTCGTAACACTCTCGGAGCTCTTGATAGGGCGTCTCTGTGAATGCGGTACTTGATTGTCGTTCCAGGATCCGCGGAGGGCCCTTGTGCTCTTCGTCGGTTCCGGCGTGGTGCTCACGCTGCTGTCCTTCGTCATCAGGAGCTTCGAGTTCTCGGACCTGATATTCACAGATTACGACGGCACGAGCGGCTTTATGGGCGTGAGCAGAATGAGTCTTTGAGGAATACCATGGGGCGTGTGCCTTCACCGCTTCGCCCCTTCACCAAACGTTATCCTGTGGATCCACGCAGTGTCGCGTAGCCCGCGTCTTGCAGCGTTCCACGAAGAGTGGGAGCAAGCGGCGACGCCATGGCAGACGCTGAAGACCGACTCTCGTCGATCTTCAGCGTGTTTGCCGCTTGGAGCGAGTCGAGGCAACGCCGCCTAAAAGACAAGGCCTTAGTGCTGACAATTGCGCGTCACCAGCGAAGGTCAACGTTGGACACAGATTGGAAACGAGTGCTGCGTCAGCATTCGGCTTCGAGTCAAGTTTGAGCCGAACGTTGACGCAATCGTCGTGCCCAATCTGTGACCCGCGTTGGCCTTCGCCGATGACGACATCTCTATCAGCGCTACGACCTGGTTATCTACAGGAGGTGTTGGTCGGGGAGCCGATGGAGAGGACATCATGCGCATACATTGTCGTATATACTGATCGTTTACACAGACGCAGCCGACGCTACGAGCTAATGAGGCCATTCCATCAGCGTCATTTGGCGGGGAAACACAAGCACGAAGTACGCAAAGAGCAGACAAACTTGCACGCCGTACGAAGGCTGGTTCCCACACTTCCGATCGCTTACGACCGAGTGACCATAAAGCACTGAATTATGGATAATGTATAGTATTACATCCAGTGCTTTAAGTGACCACAGAGCCGAGTGACCATATACGCTGGCGCCATCTCTTGGGCAGTCGTGAAACACTTTCAGTGTCGGGATATATATTTTTCTTTTTGAAGCATCTTTTTTTTTTTTTTTTTTTTTGGGGGGGGGGGGTTGAAAAGAACATATGTCAATATTATAAACGTAAATGTTTCGTGACAGTGGGTACCATCTGATCTCGCAAATACCGCAAAACCTTCGTTTTAGCGAAATTAGGTTCAGCGTCACCTCATAGATGGCGCCAGCGTGCCAGAGTCTTACCAAGAGAGCCTCAAGTAAGAGTATGTTCAACTGCTTGCCCGGGGTACGTGTTTGTGGGCGCCATTAAATTGAAAAAAACTTTGCTGTGGGTCTGTGGGGCTGCGAGTGGTTTTTCAATGTAACTCCGGTTACAAACAGCCCTGGAGATACTTCAATATTTTACGCGAAAAATTAAAATAACACTCTTCTTCAGACACCATATTTCTTCCGATGGGATAAGTATTTTTTAAATGCGAAGAAGGATATATTCCTCCATCTCTAACGCCGTCATCAAATTTCAAATGCTCTCCAAGGTTTGCGTTGATCACACTCTTACTTAAAGCTCTACAGGGCTTAGAATCTCATGATCTCTTACGAGTCACGACGAGTAACGACGAGAGCAGAGCCGTATATTGGTAGAGTTTGGCCACTCTATGATCTCGCCGCCGTAACGCCCTTCTCCCTAGTGAGCCAATCAGCCCGCCGCGCAGAGTGATCGACGCGTGAGCACTTGCGCGCGAACTCCCCGCTGCACCCAGCTGAGCGGGGAGGGCCGCCATTATCATTCATTCGCCCGATGGAATTTCCTTCTATACCGCTGGCTCTAGCAAGAAAATAATAAACTGGCGTTTGACCGTATTTAATTCAGGCGAAAAATTTAAAGACGTTTACAATTTTCATGAGGAAGAGGGGAGGGTACGGAGGGGAGGGTATGCTCCTCTTCCTTCCCCGCTAAATTTAGCGGGGAGTATTTTACCCTCGTGACGTCGCACGGGACGTCACTAGGGTAAATTTAGCAAGAAATTTTCCCCGCAAAATTTAGCGGAAACATCTCCCTGCTAAATTTAGCGGGAATATTGGCAATGTTAGATGCGTATGACGTCATGCGACGTCCCACGTGACGTCATACGTCATGTGCTTTTTTTTAATAACGTTAAACGTGACGTCACGAGGGCAATTCTCGTGAGGGTAGTAGAGTGGAAAGTTGGGCTAGTTGGTAGATATTCATCTTGGTTTTAAAAGCGCACAAAAGACGAGGACAGAGTAAGAAACACAAACGACGGACGGGCGCTCACTCGCAACTGATAGGTTTTATTGGAACTTCAGAAAACACAAAAAGCATCCCGCCCCCGCCCCCCCCCCCCCCCCCCCCCCCAATCGCTCATGCGCACCGCAGCTCCTTGTTGTCAAAATACACATCTTAAAAACTGTCAAATCACGAAGTTTACTCGTTGTCTTTAGAAACGCCAACTCGGCCTCAGTCAGTGCAAGGGAGGGTTGGCTTATGCATCCCTCTCCCCGAGAAGCTATCTGAAAGGCCTCCAAGATCTCTCTCGCCCTCTGTTCTTTATACGTGCCCAAAATATTTGTGTCACCGAGGGTAACCCTCGTGACCCTCTTGAGAGTAACTCTCGTGACCTTCGTGAGGGTAACCCTCGTAATCCTCACGAAGACAACCCTCGTGACGTCACACGTAACGTCACTGTGACGTCATTATGGTAAACGTCCCATAATGCAACGCGCGCTTACACCGTCAACGACGGCGACGCCGACGGCAACGCCGCTCAAGCCGGAAACGGGCGCCTAAGAGCTGCGCTCTAAAAGAAGTCGGCCTGTAGCAGACGGCGCGTAGCCTCAACAGTGCTCTGCAGAAAGCGTGTTGCGTCAAAATGGCGGTAGTTTCCTCTTTGCTCCCTCCTCCCTCTCTCGTTCCTTCGGCGCTCTCCTCCATCTCCTCCACTTTTCTCCTGTCCAGCGCCTTCGTCGCCACGCCCATTGGCCAGAGAAAACACTAGCGCCACCTGTTGGGTAGCCATGGAACACCTTGGAATCCCGTATATAGCCTAATTTTTCTCGCATCATTACTTTGTTGGCTTGGAAAACTGTTTTTCGCAATGTTATAAACGACGATTTCTCGTAGATTGCACGTATATTTGATCTCGCTCATACTACAAAACCTCACAGATCATGCCAGTGTGCTGTCTCGTCGTAAGGAATCACAGGAGCTAGGTCGTAAGCAAACGGAAAAGCTGACTGATCGAGTCACTGAGTCAAATTAAACAAATTCAAAAGCTCAGTGCCATGGCGTTCGTAATCTCCCTGTACGTGGTCAAACAGCGAATGAGCCATGATTTGCGATGTCAGTATGTATGTCCGTGTTTCCATGTTTACGAGTTTTACACTGCTCTCTGACTTTTGGTGAAACGAAGTATACGTAGAGTCTGCCATCTAAAACTGTCCTTATGTGTGGCGCCAACCCAGGTGACTAAATTTGGTGCTCGAGAAGAACTTCCAAGTGAAATCAGGAGAAAAATACGCCGCTGTCTTGTCCATAGCAACGTTGCACAGTTGTGAACAAAAACAACGTTCAAAATAAATATGTGAATGCAATGAATGTTTTATAGATAAAGCACTGGATGCAGCAGGGAAACGTGGCAAGCCCCACGTACTCCTCAAGGCTGGTGAGAATATACGGAGGTCACGCGCTCTAATCGCGCGGTTTCAGCTCGTGGGAGCGAAAGTTTGAGAAACTATATTTTTGTTTCAGGTCACAATGTTTGTCGGTATAAACATTATCAGCGCTCTGCTCGTTGGAGTAAAGGTGAGCTGTCGACGGCTGTAGGCAATCGTATCACGTACCTTAACATAGACTTCACAAAAAAAAGCTAAAAGCGCAAGTGGGTAGTTTCGGATGGTGCTCCTGATGCAGAAAGCGTCGAACAGCCAAGGCGTACTTAAATCTGAGCAGCTCTCGCTTATGGTTCTCACTGTGAATAACTACAACAAATAAAAATAGGTAAACAAAGCCTAACGTATTTAGTGAACACACATCACACCAATTCTTCCGACGAACGCGCCTGACATTATCCTAATGTATTTCAAACACGCGATGCAGACTCTGCGCATGAACGACTCGATCAAGTATTTGGATTTATTTTTAATCCACAAGGAACACTAGAATGATTATTTTGTGTTTCATTAGGTGATGGTGCTGCTGGCCATGTATGCTTACCGGGAAAGTCTTCCGAGGGAAAAAGGAGAAAGGAAATCTGAAGATTATTCACATGGGGACCAGGAAAAAACACTTTCCAAAGAACAGCAAACGGAGGAAAAGCCTATAGTGCAAACCCCAGAGGAAACGTTACAAAGGTACAAGCAGTCAGATCAAGAACATCCCAAAGGAGTGCCTGAGACATCGCCTATGCGACAGGCTAAGGATATACCGAAACGACTGTCCAAAGACCAGGGCCAGGAACGACCCGAATCACTAGTCGCAGGCCCACAGAGAATATTGGCCGGGGAGTCTGCTAAAGGACAGGCTAGGGAGATGCCGAAACAACCGCCCAAGCAGCCGGTGCAAGAACCACTTAAAGGCGCGCCCAGAAGGCATTCAGGTCCAGAGTCTAGGGATTCGCCTACGACACATGTTCACGACATTCAGATACAATTACTTGGACAACCGGTGCAAGAACAACCAAAAGATGCGCCCGGACAACGGCTCAAAATGGTATCTCGGGCGTCGGTTACGGAACAACCCAAGCAACAGCCCATGCAACCTCCTCAGGTTTATAGAGAACAGCCAAAGAAGCTCGCTCAGGAACCAGATAAATATATTGGACTCCTTGGAGAACAGCCCGGAGCTGCACCGAAGGCACAGCTCCGGCCTCAAGTGGTGCAGACTCCAGAGAAAACGTTACAAAGGTTCAAGCCGCTAGATCAAGAACCACCCAAAGGAGTGTCTGAGAAATCGCCTATGCGACAGGCTAAGGATATACATGAAAGGTTGTCCAAGGACCAGGGACAGGAAAGACCCAAATCATTAGTCACAGGCCAACAGAAAGTAATGACCGGGGATCCTACTAAAGTACAGATTAGGGAGATGCCGAAACAACCGCCCAAGCAGCCGGTGCAAGAAGAACTAAAAAGAGCGTCCAGAAGGTACTCAGGCCCGGAGTCGAGGGATTCGCAGAGGATACATGTTCACGAGATACAGATACAATTGCCTGGACAACAGGTGCAAGAACAAACCAAAGATGTACACGGAGCACAGCTCAAGATCGTATCTCCAGCGTCGGGTACGGAACAACCCAAGCAAGAGCCGATGCAACCACCTCGGGTTTCCAGAGAACAGCCAAAGGAGCTTGTTCAGGAATCAGGTAAACATCTTGGAGTTCCTGAAGAACAGCCCGGAGCTGCGCCGAAGGCACAGCCCCGGCCTCAAGTGGTACAGGCCCTAGAGAAAACGTTACAAAGGTTGAAGCCGCTAGATCAAGAACCATCCAAAGGAGTGTCTGAGAAATCGCCTATGCAACAGGCTAAGGATATACATGAAAGGTTGTCCAAGGACCAGGGACAGGAACGACCCGGATTATTAGTCACAGGCCAACAGAAAATAATGGCCGGGGAACCTACTAAACTACAGGTTAGGGAGATGCCGCAACAACCGCCCAAGCAGCCGGTGCAAGAACAACTCAAAGAAGCGCCCAGAAGGTACTCAGGCCCAGAGTCCATGGATTTGCATAGAATACATGTTCACGAGATACAGATACAATTGCCTGGACATCTGGTGCAAGAACCACCAAAAGGAGTTCCTGAGAAATTGCCTATGCGACAGGATATACCGAAACGACTGTCCAACGACCAGGGACAGGAGATGCCATGGCAAGGGATGTCAGCGCAAGGACTACCAGCGCATGGAATCTCTGTCCGTGGAGTGCAAGGAATGCCAGGGCAAGGGATTCCAGGACAAGAAATTAGAGGGCAAGGAATGCAAGAACAGGGGATACAAGCACAAGTGTTGCCAAGGAAAGGAATGACAGGCCAAGAGGTGAAAATGCAAGGAATGCAAGGGCAAGTAATGCAAGGACAATGGATTCCAGGGCAAGAAATTAGAGGGCAAGGAATGCAAGAACAGGGGATACAAGCACAAGTGTTGACAAGGCAAGGAATGACAAGCGAAGAGATGAAAATGCAAGGAATGCAAGGGCAAGTAATGCAAGGACAATGGATGCAAGGACGAAGGATGCCAGGAAAGGGGATCAGAGAACAGGGGATGCCAGGGCAAGGGATACCAGGACAAACGATGCAAGGACAAGGGATGCAAGGACAAATGATGCCAGGACAAGGATGGCCAGCGCAAGGGATGCCGGCGCAAGGGATGCCGGCGCAAGGGATGCCGGCGCAAGGGATGCCAAAGCAAGGGTTGCCAGCGCAAGGATTTCCATGGCGAGTTCCGGGGCAAGGAATTTCAGTGCAAGGAATGCAAGCAAAAATGATGCCAGGACAAGGAATGCCAAAGCAAGGGATGCCTGCGCAAGGAATGCCAGCGCATGAAGCGTCAGAGGCTGCATTGCCAAGGCGTGGGGTACCAACGGATAGGATGTCATCGCCGCTTCCAGCGAAGGACCAAGAGGCTGTCGTGTCAGGATCAGCTGAATCGCCACCAGTCGGGGATGCGGCACAGCAGCATCCCGAGGCCCAAGCGCCCCTCCCCTCAGCGTCGCAAGAGAGGAGACAGAAGGGCATGGCGAGAAAATTCTACATGTACTACAAATAAAGTTTTCTTGGTGTCTCTGAAATCATAAAGATCCTGAGAAATTCGCCTTTCTTCTTCTTCAGTTTTACGTGGGTCCCTAATTGAATCAGGAAAGTGTCTTGCGCATCATTGTTGGTTCAAGCAGTTAATAATTTTTGGCTCGTTCATTTTGACTGCGATCATGTGAAACGTGGAGCGGCATCAAAGTGATAAAGCTTTGACTCTTAAGGCCGGTTCACACATACAGCGGAGCGCTACGTGAGCGCTCCAAGGAGCGCTCATGTGGCGCTTCCTGGCGCGTGATGTAGCGCTCTGTTAGCGCTTCAGAAGCGCTTTGTTAGCGCTCTATTAGCGCTACAGAAGCGCTCTGTTAGCGCTCTCACGCCCCTTGTGCCGTGCTTGCTGCTGCGGAATAGCGCGTGCACGGCGATTCCTTGGTTGTTGTTTTTCCCTTGGCATTGAAAGAAGAGGAAGTAAAATAGCCGCCCTCTAAGCAGAGGGTCGGGCAGGGGACCCAGAGTAATGGACTCTGAGCGACTAATTGATTGGGTACGACCTCAGCTTTCCATTCGATATGTGTGACGCTGGTTTTAAGGACACGCAGGTAAAAATAATCGTCTTCGAAAGAGCTCTGTCTCGGTCCCTCAGCCTATAGGAACAAGGTTCGCCGGGTACCCGTCGGTATCTCGGTGGCGAAAGATTTCGCGCACCCAGAAGGTTCTTCTGGGAGTTAAGCCGTCCACACAGATATGCACGAATCGAGTATGTATAAGAGCATTTGTCGCATTTCTATTTCAGCATCCCACATGTCCGCCATGGTGCTGCTGATGCACACCCAACCACAGGAACCGAAACCGCAGTGCACCTGCTAATCCGCAGCACCGCGGTACAAGAAGCGCTACTGAAGCGCTAACAAAGCGCTACTGAAGCGCTAACAAAGCGCTACTGGAGCGCTAACAAAGCGCCACTGGAGCGCTGACAAAGCGCTACTGAAGCGCTACAGGAGCGCTAACAAGGCGCTACTAAAGCGCTAACCACGCGCTATATTAGAACGAAGTCACGCGCTGGAAGCGCCACATGAGCGCTCCTTGGAGCGCTCACGTAGCGCTAACTTAGCGCTCCGCTGTATGTGTGAACAGGCCTTTAAAGGGGCGATGCAACGATTTTTGTACTTTGCGCCAATACCGCTTAGAACGGATCCCTTACGTTAATAACCTGTGATGAAATACCGGTTCGTTTTTCACCACACCCAGTCGAAGTTGCAGAAAAAAAATAAAGAAAAACGAGCAGAGTTCACCCCCTCAACTCGCAGCCAGAACAACCGACCAGGTGATCTGGAGCCGATTTTATGCCGCCAATGTTGATCATAGCCATGCGCTGGGCTTGGCAAGGCACAGGACACGCGCTGAGTTCCAGATATTGTTATGGTCCGGCTGTTGTCGTCATTGCACCGATTGGACACAGGACACTACCCGAATGCTTCTCGAGCTATAAATTATCACGAGCACAAATCGAGTGTCCACGCCATGCTCGGGTCCGATCTATGAGCCGCATTCAAATCTCGTCACTGGGAGGTACTACTACCTCCCAGCTACGTCATCAGGTTTTGCGAAGGAGAGATTGAATGAAAACACTCGGTTTTGTCCTCGAAATTAGAGCGCAACAAAAGATTTTCTTGGTCAGTGGCGTTGCGTGCGAGTATCCTTGAGTCCCACTAGTGCCAGTAAGCTCGTGTAAAGGGAAAGACATTCCAATTGAATATCGTTGCACTGCCCCTTTAAGCTGGATCACACAGCCCCGTTTTCTTACGTTACATCACGTTACGAAAGCTTACGTACAAGTCACCAGGACATAATGGCTTCATATTAAGCGTGACTAACAGTTAAAGGGATACTGAACCAAGGAATTTAGTGTCCATAATAAGTGGCGCACGTTCTTTTCTCAAGCCAGCAGCTGCTGGTATGCGCGAGCACACGCAACGAAAATGATGTCAAAGACCTCCATTCGCGCTTAAGATAACAGTGAAATGTATGGGCTTCGGACCAAAGGAGAATAAAGACAAGTTTTTCATCTACACAGTAGTGTCTGGTGTAAAAGGTGAGCGAATATTTGGTCTGACAAGCACGTAGCTTTCAATTGTAGAGATGAAAAGCCTGTCTTTATTCTCCTTTGGCCCGAGGCCCATGCATTTCACTGTCCTCTTAAGCGCGAATGGAGGAATGGAGGTTTGGGGGAACCATGTTGATTCCCGTCGGCCTGATCCTCCTTAGATACTTCTCACATTCAGACAAGATTTCACACAGCAGCAGAAGCACCACTGCGGTCTTGATGACATATTTCAACGCCGTTCAAATCAAGGACGATTGTAAATCCCATGAGGGCCATCGGCTTAAATTGCTCTGGTGCATTGAACCTGGACAACATCAGCAATTTGTACTGCCATGTCGGCAATTTTTCGACGACACATGTAACAAACCTCCCGTTTTTTTGTTTTGTTTTTAAATAACTTGAGGTTCCGCCAAACCGATGACTTGAACTACCTACCGTTCGACCTCTGTCCATATGTAATTTATTGGTCAATGAGCATCGAGGATGGCCAAGCAGGAAGTAGAGTCAGTATTTGGCATGTTGTACGGCATCTCGGAGTTGAAGAACACCAGCAACCGCCTCAGTAGAATTAAGACCAATGTTTTGATGGCCCTCGGCGGACCCCCAGGACAGTCCGCACTTCTCGAGACAGGGCAGAGGCTGCACGTACATAGACAGTCTAGTCACCGACATCAGGAAGATTATGGGCAACCTTTGCCTGGACGGGCTCGCCATCCACTGGGTTTTGCCCACAGACACCTGCTAGCCTTTTGACTTTCCCGGAACATTGTCGGTTTTTTTTCATTAACGTGAAGTAGATTTTGAATATAAACAATCTACCAGCGCTGATGACGCTCATTCTTCCGTACGCAGACACCGTAACTGTAGGCATGATGTCGCCGGACCCGGTGGACTTCATTATGAACCACGAGTTTCGACTGGACCCCATTCCCTCCAACTGGTGCGAGGATATCACGATGAAATTAGCCGAGTATATAGTCTATTTTTCGTATTCCTAACTATATGTATATATAGTTATGAGGAAAAGTTCTGCATCAGTATGTCGAGGGCCGCTTTCCTCTTTGACCTCTTTGGCACCATGAGTTTTGACCTCTTCGGCCCCCGACCCTTGAACGAATGCGGAGAAAATCTCACCAAATATTTTATGTTCTCATACCTAGACTGTCGGATCGTGCGTCCCATAATCAGAATTAGTGTAAGCAATCAGCCATTGTTTTCTATAATTCACGCCGCAAGTATAAAATAAAAACATTGGACACCTGTAAAGATAACAAAAATATTATGGGGAGTATATTCACTGGCGGCCATAGCTCTGTGCGCGAATTCTGAGCGCGTGCTGATGACGAGCTTCCACAGTTCTTTTGCAACGTGCATTCCGCACCATCGAGTGCTGGTCTTAGCAGCCCATTGATGTGAGCTCGTTTTGAGCATGTGCTTTAAACAGGACCCACAAATATGGCGTCCAGTGAATACTCCCTATTGGCAGCTTCGATTTCACAGAACTCTTTTCATTTCGCCTCAAAAGCGAATGCAGTCATCGACTGCTTCAAGAAGCACAGGAAGCTGCTTGTGCTGCATGGTAATTGCAGAGGTTTCGTATAGTCGGTTCTGCCGGCGGCTGGCCTCTCTTCTTGTCTTGGCGGGTTGCTCTCCTCGGCTGGCCTGCACCAACGTTGTGGCGCAACTGCTTGATCTTGCTGGAAGCATTCGAATCCAAACACCATGGGATGGGAATGACCAACGAGGCGCTTCAATGCATTGTTCCACCCCTCGCACGCGTTGTTAGTGTGGTCCTTCTCTCTTCTCTTCTCTTCTCACGCGCTCAAAGCCTTTCTGGAAATGACAGGTCTAGTGGTTTTCGATAACGCTCGGAAACTTTCTAGTTGGAACGGTATGTCTAGTTACACTTATTAAAAAGTTAATTAACAAATTTTAAATGATTAACTGGCTAATTAGTATGTTTTTGGCAAGTCCTGACGTCCGCCGTGGACGGTAGTTTGCTCTTGAAGACAAATTTTTTTTTTTCAAACGCCCTAATTTTTAGCATTTCTGGTAGTCTTCATAAAAACAACCGGTATATATAAATACATACGTAAGAGTGACCAAAAATTCCTAAAATTACTGTATTCCCGGTAAAAAAATAATAATTTTCCCGGGACCGCAATACTGGTGGTGGCGGACGCCAGAAAAGGCGCGATATTTACTAATTAGGCCGCTGATTAATTGAAATTTACAAATTAACTTTGAATTAGTGAAAATAAACATATGGTTCCTATGAGAAACTTGCTGAGCGTCATCGAAAACCACTAAATCAGTAATTGTCGGAAAGAATTTGAGCGCGTGAGAATCGTAGTATTGCACTAAAAGTTACCACTCGTGAAGCAGTATACATAAAACAAAAAAACAAAGAAAGTGTCTAGAGAACTTTAACCCTTTTATATAATTTTTAGAGCAATAAAGTTATTCTTGTACAAAAAAAAAAAAAAAATATCGACGTTGAGAGACTTTAGAATGTGTCACTCGTGAAAACAGCGAAAATCGCCAGACCTACCTTCTGCCCTTCAAAAGAAAAAAAAAAAAAGAGTTCTGCAGTTATAATTTAACGTTTTTTTTTTTTTCTAGTCACCACCAACATATACTTTTTTTAAGATCTGTTTGAAGACCCATCATTTTTTCTTGCACGATGCGAGATGAAATCACCCATATATTTATTTATTAGACATTTCTCACTTCGTAACTATCTGTTGGAGAATGGATACGGGACGACGAAGAAGTGGGCAACGGGGTCACGCGCGAAGAAAGCCCGCCATGTTCTCGTTCTGATAAACCGCTACCACCAGTCGATCGGGTTGTACTGTCTTCAGATCCCAAACAACTGGTGCCGAAACCCGGGATCTAGGAGACGCCCGACAAAACGAGTGACAGCTCCCCATCTGACAGA